TGAAAATGAAAGAAACTGTAAGACTATACTTGTATTTCTAATATATATGTACAATCAAGAGGATTTCTGAGAAAAGTACAAATGTGAGGACAGCAAAAAGGAAAAGGCAGTACATGAATGTTCAGTACTTATGATAAAACTTCAGCAGAAACTAGAGCTTAACATATTTTTTAAAGTACCCTTAAGTCTCTTTATTAATTTAAACTTTATCACAAATACATAACTGCATTCTGCTGCAATCCCCTTAAGTCATCTTGTTAAATTTTGTCACAACATGTGTTACTGTAGTTCTACACTTTTACCTTTGCACTTTGTAGTGTGTAGCAGCGCAACATAATTAACCACTGCTAGGTAGTGTTTACGTTAGTTCTCAAAAGGTTAAGAAGCTGATTATAGCTAAAATCAGCTTTGCCTGAGGCTTCAGGGGCTCTGTGTAATCAAATTAGACAAGCAGGGCACAGTGTCACCTAACACAAACCAGTGGCACTTTCTTCTTTGCTCTGACCCTTTTCCCCCCTTTTTATTAGGGGAACAACTCATGCTTTGTGCTTTTACCAGATAATTTAAAAAGACTTGTTTCTAATAAATTTGGCATGCGATCTCAAAGATGTCCACCTGTTTAAAAGTAATGAGAGCACGTAGAGCAAATTTTGAAAAAAAGGTTGATAAAAAATGTTGATAAAAGAAATCCAAATTTGGAGAGATTAGATGTTATACAGAAAGTATTTTCCTAAAAGGCAGGTGACAACATGATCACGTACACATGATATTAAGGATGTCTCCTAGCTTTAGACAGACTGTCAGCTTTGTTCTACAGAAAACCACACAATGGTTTATCTGCTTCCAAGAGAACTCAGAGAACTTTATAAACCTGATAGATAGCGCATTAGCATTTCTGAGAAACCATGGCTAACCCACTCTGCTGAGTTATTGCTCATCCTCCCTCCATCTCTACTCTTTGAAGTCAGGCAAGGTGAACTGTATAATGGACGCATTTAAGGAGGGGGTTTCATAAGGTGAGGAGAAGAGCAAACGAGCCCTACTTCACAGACTGTTTCCACACGGTTCTATATTTAAATGCAATAAGACGAATTAGACAAATCCAAATCCTTGCTGCCTTTGAGCCTAAAGGGAACAAAAGCATGAACACTAAAGAGATATTAAAAAAGAGAAGGAATGGCAAATTTAAATAAAAATCTAGAATCTCATTCTTAACAAAATTTGTGAATCATTATTAAAACAATAAGTAACATTTGTTACATCTTTGTCTTTCTTATATTTGACTTTGAACTTTTGGTTCAAATCCTACATATTTATTACTTTGCTTGAAATACATAAACAAAATGAATGTAAACTTCCTACAAATGAGTTATCAGGAGAAAATGAATTTTGCTAATGATTTATTCTGGGCAATAAAATAAAAACTTGTTATTTTAATTGATTAAGTCATAAAGAGTTCCTGGAAAAGTCAAATCTTGCTATTTGCACAGTCAGACAATTTCTGCTAATCCAGCAGTACTTAACAAATTCACATGTGGTTAGCTTGTCTTGCCATAGCTGTATATCACATTTCTGCGCTGCAAGCTGTGCAAAAAAAAAAATCAATATGCCAAGTTTAACAAAAGGACAGGAAACATGATGTTCTCCTATATTTTCAATGAAGCTCAAATGACTCTGCTGTTCATACTCAGTACAATTTATGGCAGAGAAATGTATTCTTCAATGAAAAAAACTACAATGGAATGAATTATATAAATTCAGAGCTGAAGTTCCATCTTATTCCATAGTAACAATTTATTTAGAAGATTCTGACATTCTGCTTCAATGTGCACAGTACAATCAGCCATTCATGAGGCAGGTTTTTTTTTTTTTTTAATAAAGGCTAAAGTATATTCTTTAGACCAAAGAAATATATACTATTTACGGTAATAGTTTGATAGACGCATTTAATTTAGGTTTTGGAGACTTTTTTTGAATGTCTCCTTTCACATGTGAAACACAGGATGAGATGGTATCTATTGAGCAAAACCTTTAAATTTTAACATTAAGGAAAAAAAAAATCCCAATGGGTCCTGAGATACTGCATTGGTTAACTGATTCAAGATTTTTATGTCTTCTTTTACTACTGCAGAAGTACATTATGTGTGGAAGGAGATTAGTATGAAAATGTTGAGAATGAAGTAGGAGTGGTCATGACCAATAGGTCAGCACAGACAGGGCCACTCCTGCCTTCTCAACTCAGCGATGTGGAACTAATCGTGGTAAAACAACCAGTAACTTGGACTTCAGCCAAAGGATTCAGAACTGTTGCCACAGTGGGGATTTTTTGTTTTTTGTTTTTTTGTAAGAAGAGAATTGGCTTTAGGAATCATCAAAAGCACCATACATAGAAAGATAAGAGAGCTAAACAATCCACAAACACAGAGAAATTCACATATGAAAAATTCTTTGGTAATTTCTCTTCATTCCAAAAGCAGCAGTAAATGAATTAATGGCACTTAGCTGGGGAGAGCATGTCAGTGATCAGTACTGAAGGTATAAACCGTTATAGAAAACACATTCAGAGAATTACACTTATTTCTAACTTTCTATTAATGTGTTATTTAGAAAACAATTTTCATTCATAGATAAATACACCATTTAAAAGAGGATAGGCATAAAAGTTCCCAACCAGAAAATAACAATATAATGATCTTAAGTGTTAAATAATATTAATGTTGCTATAAATGATCATTTCCATATACAGTTGACCCTTGAACAACATGGGGGTTACGGGTGCCATTCTCCTGCATAGTTGAAAATCTGCATGTAACTTTTGACTTCCCCAAAACTTATTAATAGCCTACTGTTGACCGGAAATCTTATTGATAACATAAACAGCGACTGACAAATATTTTGTATGTTAAATGTATTACATACTGTATTCTTATACTAAGCTAGAGAAAAGAAAATGTTACTAAGGAAATCATAAGGAAAAGAAAATACATTTACAGTAGTGTACTCTTTTTACGGAAAAAAATGCACGTATATGTGCACCCATGCAGTTCAAACACCTGTTGTTCAGACTCAATTGTAATTCATATTCTTATTTCAACACAGAGGATGTAACATGGCTCAGAACAGTGATAAGAAGTTTTTGTATGGATATTCAGGAAACCCAGAACACCAGAGCTTGGGAAAAAAATTATAGCAAGGCTATACACATCATAATTTAATTGTGTATTAAAGTAGACTCTTTAAAGTCTGCAACCACAATTAATAGCCAAATATAATCCCCAGTTAGTTGTGTGGTCTTAGTATATACATAATCTATTCCCAGGAAATGACAGAGTTAACATTTTTGGAAAGTGCTTAATTATTTTAACAACAACAAAAAAGTAAGAGGTAAACATTTTACTTCTGGGGAGTAAAACTACCTTAACATGTTACTGATTTTAGGTTTAAATGGCAATTCAAATTATTTTTCCACATTTTTCATCTTTGTAGATTTTATGTTTTCTAGCTTTTTCTCATCTCTCTAAAGGTTCTTTGGTAGTACACCTTTTTCCCTTCACTAGAAAACATCTAGGTGTTCATGAGAATTCCCTATCACTTTATTGCCAATAAATGAAACCGCCAGGTTCACTTCTGATATAAATGCCTGGTCTCTGCTCTTGAGGCAACATTGCCGGTTCTCTCTTGGATGCCTTTTTTATACATCCAATCATTTCTTTAAACTCAAATGGAGGGGTCGCCTTCACTTTTCTCAGCACTGCTTAATTCCTCCAGCGTCGCTGGTATCTTCACATCTTATCTGTCCACACAGGAGATTTTCCCATAATTTTTATACACCGCAAAATGTTGGAATCTTTACAAAATTATCTTGAGTTTTCTATGATGGCTATTATCTACAGGGCAGAGTAAAACAGGTGTTGTAAGCTGAAACATTTGGTGCGTTTGAACTCTTAGGCCACGAAGTGTGTGTTTGATTTGGTCTGAATTAAGCCTCTAGAAGAGAATCTCAGAGCAAGAAAGGATCATGAAAATTATCTATCTAACTAATGTTAAAACGATGAGAGGTCCAGAGAAGTTCAATGACCGGCTCAAAGCCACGTATTGGTTTGCGACTCTCATCATTCTCTACTCACACTGTGCTTCTTGTAGTCCCCTGAAATTACTGTGCTCCTCAACTGATACCTTTTCCTACAGGAACCATCAACTGATACCTTTTCCTACAGGTAAGATTTCTACCTGGGTGGAACCATCAACTGATACCTTTTCCTACAGGTAAGATTTCTACCACTTTCAATCAACATACTCCTTCTGTTTCTACTTAAAACCTTCAATGCACTTTTTCACCATATCTTAGTGTGACTCCTGGATCTTGTTCTTACAATGCAAAGGCTATCTTGGTTGCAAGCTGCTGTGGCCACATTATAACCTTGCAGAAGCTGCTTATTAAACATCCTTCCTAAGGCAAATGGAACCTGTCAAGAAGTCCATCTACCATCTATCTCAAATAAAGTAAGATTTTAACTTCTAATTTTCCTACCTGTTTTGTTCTCTTCCTTTAAGTAATACAGATATAAAATCCTCGGCTTCTATTTCTAGCACCCTAAAAATCCATTTGGGTTCCCACTCTTTAAAAAAGCTCCCTTTCTCATTTTTCTTATGCTCACTTTTCTGAACATTTTAGAGTAGGTTCCTTTATCCCCCAACCTTCAACACTAGAAGAGAAGAGCATTATATTGTTGTTTATCCTTGTCTACTCAGGCCATCGTGCCTTTTCCCTTTCAAGTCTTTTTAAGATACCTATTTATGAATCTTTCTTTGTAAAATCCATCTAATTGCTGGACTGTAGTCAGTAGCCACATGCTATTGCCATCACTTACTTTTCAACTTTATTTCCTCATATCCTTTAATTTTAAAACACAGAACCTTAGGATTGCAAGAGACATTAAAGATTATTTCATCTAATCTCTACCAAAGGTAAGAATTCCTTCTATCAAATTTGTGAAAAGTGGTCATTGAGCCTTTACCTGAATGCTTCAAAAGACAGAAAGCTCACTAGTTTATAACGCATCCCATTCCGTGTCTGACACAACACAATCATTATATTGAGCCTATTTAATTTCCATAATCCACAATCAAAGCCTTTGTCATAAAGTATTTAGAACATCATTTATGATTCAGGGTTGAGAACAGCTAAATCATTAAAACTTCTGGGTTCCTTTGGTGCCATAACTTAAAGATCTGGATGCTACTTAGTAGATTTTAAGAGCTGCTGCTATTAAAAGAAAAACTGATGGGGTGCCTGGATGGCTGAATTGGTTGAGTGTCCGACTCTTGATATCGGCTTGGGTCATGATCTAAGGGTCGTGAGATCCAGCCCTGCAATGGGCTCTCCACTTAGCAGCCGGGAGTCTGCTCGAGATTCTCTCTCTCCCTATCCCTCTGCCACTCCCCCTGCTCGCTCTCTCTAAATAAATGAATAAGTAAAAACTTAAAAAAAAAAAACAACAAATCTTCAGGTGATGCTAGTTCTACAGTTCTCAATAAACGGGCCTGTGTAATATTTTAGTAACTACTTGGTTATGAGTATGGGACAAGCTCAAACATTAAAGTTAATATTAATTAAAAACTAATTAAAATATTAATTTTCACATAGTTGGGAAACTATATCCTTGAAACTCTATTTCTCTTGCTAGAGAAAGCATGTGTTTACAAAAATTACAATTCAGGCATTTTGATGGACAACCAGTGTTTTAGATTTCATTTCCTTTAACTTCAGTGATTTACAGGGCCAACTACCAAACTCATCTTTTTGTTTGTTTGTTTGTTTTATTTTATTATGTTATGTATGTTAACCATACATTACATCATTAGTTTTTGATGCAGTATTCCACGATTCATTGTTTGCATATAACACCCAGTGCTCCATTCAATACGTGCCCTCCTTAATACCCATCACCAGGCTAACCCATTCCCCCACCCCCCTCCCCTCTAGAACCCTTAGTTTGTTTCTCAGAGTCCATAGTCTTTCATGGTTCGTCTCCCCCTCCGATTTCCCCCTCTTCATTTTTCCCTTCCTGCTATCTTCTTCTTCTTTTTTTTAACATATAATGTATGATTTGTTTCAGAGGTACAGGTCTGTGATTCAACAGTCTTACACAATTCACAGCGCTCACCATAGCACATACCCTCCCCTATGTCCGTCACCCAGCTACCCCATCCCTCCCACCCCCCACCACTCCAGCAACCCTCAGTTTGTTTCCTGAGATTAAGAATTCCTCATATCAGTGAGGTCGTATGATACATGTCTTTCTCTGATTGACTTATTTCGCTCAGCTCCAGTTCCATCCACGTGGTTGCAAATGGCAAGATTCCGTTCCTTTTGATGGCTGCATAATATTCCATTGTAGATATATACCGCATCTTCTTTATCCATTCATCTGTTGGTGGACATCTTGGCTCTTTCCATAGTTTGGCTATTGTGGACATTGCTGCTATAAACATCGGGGTGCATGTACCCCTCCGGATCCCTACATTTGTATCTTTGGGGTAAATATCCAGTAGTGCAATTGCTGGATCGTAGGGTAGCTCTATTTTCAACTTTTTGAGGAACCTCCATACTGTCTTCCAGAGTGGCTGCACCAGCTTGCATTCCCACCAACAGTGTAGGAGGGTTCCCCTTTCTCCGCATCCCCGCCAACATCTGTCATTTCTTGACTTGTTAGTTTTAACCATTCTGACTGGTGTGAGGTGGTATCTCATTGAGGTTTTGACTTGGATTTCCCTGATGCCGAGCGATGTTGAGCACTTTTTCATGAGTCTGTTGGTCATTTGAATGCCAGACTCATCTTTTAATTTTTCATTTTGTGATGCCTAACTAAAGTGGAAGGTGTATATATAATCTTACCTACATGTGGATATTAAACTTTTGAAATAAATATAGTGAAGAACATAGTGTGAACAGAGCCTAAGACCCTGTGGTAAAAGGCACAATTTTGGGAAAAGTTGAATGAATGAGTGAATGAGCGATAAATACAGTCTATTTTGCAACGGGAAAATCTTGAAATTAAGCTAATATGCCAACCCCCTGGACTGGTTTCACTTTGAGATTGGTTTAAAGAGCAGTTTTTAGTTTGATAGGTTTGGAAAAGGGGAGGGCAGGAAGCAGGGTTGGAACCTTGCGTGGCAGCTCTCTGTAATATGAACTGCTCCTCGGTGAAGCGGTTGGGTACAGTACTAGCTGGGAACTGTAAGTGTTACAGGCTTTGAAGTCAGTTCAGCTTTGATGTCCTCCTCTCACAGTTAATCGTAAGATAGTATGGAAGAGGAGGAAAATAAGACTTTCCAATACTGTTCTTGGTGTCATTGCTCAGAAAATCCTAGCATGAAAAAAGATTGGTGTCTGTGTGAATTTTAAGTAGCATCAGTCTGTTTTTAATTTCTAAACAGTTTTAAATTATTGATATGATACTTAAAATTGTTAGTTTGGGACAAAATTGTTAGTTTGGGGCAACCACAGGGATAAGCAAAAACATTTTTTTAAAGATTTTATTTATTTATTTGTCGGGGAGACAGAGAGAGAGAGCACAAGCAGGGGGAGCGGCAGGCAGAGGGAGAAGCAGGCTTCCCGCTGAGCAGGGAGCCTGATGCGGGGCTCGATCCCAGGACCCTAGGATTATGACCTGAGCCGAAGGCAGACACTTAACCCACTGAGCCATCCAGGCGTTCCAAGCAAAAACATTCTTAAATTTGTGATTAGAACATGTGACTCAGTCCATAAGAACACACATATTAATGATGATTTGGGATTGTCACTATGCTAACTACTACTTAGATGGAGTTACACATATGTGATTCCCAACCACGAGGAATTTATTATCTGACCACTGATAATCCTGCCTGGCAGGAACCTCAGACGTCATCTAGTCTGAGACTGAAGTCCAGAGAAGCTGGTTTGTTTTAGAAACAAAAGATGAAACTACCAAGTACACACATACATATACATAAATTAAATAAATGACAACCAACGGATAGCATGTAGAAATAGAGGGATACAAGTATCTTGTGAGTTCTTGACTAGAAGAAAAATTATGAGAATTTCATATTGAGACAGAACATTGTTTACCTCATATCATTCATTTGTATAATACTTTTATGCATTTTGCCATATATACAAAGTACTGTTACTATGAAAATATCTGGTATTTTCTTTACATCAACTCATTTTTTCTGTTTGCCTAGTCCTAAGCAGTCATTAAATGGGTTTCATGTGTTATTCATACCTTTTCTAATATATATTAGAACGAACAAGTAAACTACTAAAATAAAAAAAAACAATTTATCTGTGAGCCACTAGAAGTATGCATATAAAACACTAAGATGGAGGACTCAAGGGAAAAATATATCCTAATTACTTCTTGAAGTACTTAAATTAGAACTATGATTTTTAAGTCTGCACATTCTTTTTTTTAAATGTATTATGTTATTAGCCAACATATAGTACATTCTTTAAGTATTTAGATATCCATGTGATCTGGGATAACTTGAATTTTAAATGTTCTTTTCTTTTCTTTGGGGTCATGTGGTTTAATGCCTCCCACTGTAAAACTTTAGCTATTGGAAACTTCCCCAGCTTACTTCATGGATAATAAATAATCTATAGTTTAATAAAATCTATAATTAAAAGTGATAGTAATGATAATCTGAGACCAATACAGTGACAAAAAGTTGAAAGGAAAAATAATTCCTTTTCACTCTTCATAGTGCCTACTGTCTTGAGCTGCCTACTGCTTAAAAAACAACAATAACAACAAACAAAAAAACCCCACAAAGCTTTCTAGTTTTTCTAAGTAGAAAAAACTGTAGCAACAACAGAAATCTTACAGGCATGACTTTAATGGGAGAAGGAAAAGAATGATTAAAGCTCTATGGCATTCCTCCTGTTTATTTGTTGGTATCATGTAATGAGATGAGAAAGAATCCAAAGCCAGATACTACAACAGAGGGGTTAACTACACCTCATGAAAACAAAAGGTCATTCCTCTGTTAAATTCTTATTCTTTAAGTGCATTTGAGTTGACTGTAAATATAAACAAAAGCCACTGGTGGGCAATTAAATTTGAAGAAGTGGCCCATAAAAAGTAGAATATTCAGTATGTATTAAAGTCAGTTACACAACATCTGATTTAATAGTTAGATTTTAAGCGTTCCTCTCGTAATATATGTTAAATGATCTCAACAAATCATATTCTGTAAGGCAGCAAAATGACAATTTCATATAGTCTAAGGCTGGGAGGACAAGAACATTAAAGCAAATTAATCTGTAAACATCTATCTAAGTTAAAAGGTTGAAAATCTGCAGACATTTGTAACAAGAACTTTAAAATGAATTTGCCATTCCCAGAGTCATCTCACTAGACAGGAAAGAGGAACTTGGCATGTGACCAATAAATTATGAGAGAGCAACACCTCAGGGTCAGAGGGCACTGATGACTGCAACCAATCTCACCAGCTAGGGCAACAGATTAAGCTGGAGGATAGGATGCCCTACAACCTTAACCTGCTAATATCTTTACATTCTTCAGAATGACCTCTAGTCTGCTCTTTTCTTATTAGTTGTTAGTTACACTAATTACAGCTTAACTGGTATTGTTGGTACCAATTTTTCCCTCAAAAGACATATAGAGAAAGGTTATCTCTAATAGCTTGAAATAACTTCAGCCAAATTCTGTTGTGCACATTAGGAGCACTTACCTCCAGTTTTGAATGGGTCTTTTATAGACATCAAAGGAAAGACACTAAAAGCAATGTGTGTTTGTGGATTCTATAAAGCATTTCATATAGGAAGCTGTAAAAATAAAAACAGTAACTTCTCCTGTGACTAGAACTTTAGAATAGTTTAAAACAAGGTAATTTATTTTTTATGTTTATTTTCAACATATAGGGGCTGGTGATTTCAAATAGAAGGAGCTGGTTCTATCTTAACCATGCTAGTGAAGTAAAAATACTTAGCCCATGAAATTCCCTCAAAATTTATGTTTTTTAAAAAAGGAATAATGAAATTTCTATCATG